AACAACAACAAAAAACCCCACAAAACAAAAAAAAGCCACCTCCTGGCTACTACAAGACCCAAAAACTTCCAGTCTTGGAAGTTCAGGCTGAGATGTGTTCCAAGCACATAAGAGTATATGGGATAATGCGTATCTTCTTTCAGAAGAAAAGGGACAGCAGCCTTACAGAGCGCTAGATGAATTTAAAATACTGCAAGTACCTGCTGTAAACATCTCTTTCTAAGCCCTTCTATAATCTCCTTCCCTCACAGGGGTTCTGCTGCGTACGTTCAAGGGCCCAGGTCCTGCACAAAAGTACAGTTTGTAATTTTAAGTCATGGGAGTAAGAGAGATGAATAAAGAAGGAAGCATCAGTTCGAGGAAGCAGAGGTGGACAGTCAAGGATATGGAGTGAAAGGTCCTGGTTTGGAGAGTCATCAATGCAAAAGGGCAGGCAGGGAAAAAGACAAGTGTCAGCCACAAAACCAGCCTAAGTTCATTTGCTGAAGCCAAAGCACTTGGCCAGTCCATCGGAAACGTGACTTGTTTGCACTGAAAATGTAACAGCGTGTTTCCATTAGTAAGAAACGTGACTGGAATTAGTTAGAATATCTAATAATACATGTTCAGCACAGAGGAAAATACTGTGATCATGTTGAATTAACTAAACAAATGCATTAAAAGCTGCAAGAAGTTGCCATTTACTATTACCGTAAGTGGATATTCTGGGCTCTGAAACGACAACAAAAGTGAATTTAAAAAAAAAAAAATGCAAGCAGGAGTCTTTCCCTTAGATCTGGCTTATCAAGGATGGTTATATGTAAAAAATGAATATATTTTACACTTTTTTTTTCTTACACTGCAGTAGTCGAGATGTAGCCGAGACACTCTAGGGTCTCACAGCACAAACTTTAAGCCCTGGGGAACAGCAGCATATCTAGATGCTGCCACCTTGCTTTCCCTGACGGCTGCTTAGGAAGGAGCCCTATTTTTTTCCTGGTACAACTAAAAGTACAGTATGGTAAAGATCAGTTGCTGTATTGCAGGGAGTGACCTTTTGAAGGGTTAAGACAGAAATTCTACGAGTAGCTAAATAGCTGCTTTTACTAAACTTCCCCTCCCAGCCCCCAGCTGTGTGCCTGCTGGCTGAAAATTACCAGCACCTACCTCCACACACGGTCAGCAAACACTCTGCAACACCTCTCTCTCGTGGGTTTTTAGTAAATGAAAACTAGATTACTCAGAGATAAATCAAGAAACAAATGTGGTGTATCTGAGTAAAAATACAGCATATGAGCAAATAAAGATTCCAGAATTTTTGTTCCCCCCACCCCCACTGGGGCAGGGGGAGCAAGGGAATGGCTTCGTGGTGTTCAGCTGCCTGCCGGGTGAAACCACAACACACCATTTGGAAGAATGCAGGTTGCCCTCTCCATTACTTTATGCCAGTGGTCTAGCCCAGGGAGTAGCGTAAACCCATTCTGAAGCACACTGAAATACAGCTGCACTTTGCGTTTCTGCTGCAGAGAGCCCACCTTTCTCCTTCCTGCCCCGGAGATCTGAACACACTGGGCTGTTAACATCCTGTACCGCAATGCTACTCCCTAGCAATACTCCGCAGTCAAGCGTCCAGTTTTACCCTCCTGCCAGCCAAAGCAGAGTCAATGCCAGCACACCCCTCCACAGCATGTCAAAAAAGCAGGCAAAAAAGTACTATTTCTTCAAGATGTCCTAAGTGAATTATTCAATCACTGGAAAAGAATTATGAGCTAATTTGAAATCCAGCAGTTCTAGTGATCTCTGCAGACTTTCAGCACACCCATGAGAAAAGTCAGAGCACAGCCAGTGGCACACAAACGTAACGCAACTGCATATCCAGAATGGCACGTGACTTCACAAAAGCAAAGCTATGAGAATGGGCACCCCAATCAAAAAAGCTTGACCAGGAGCCTATTAAATTAAAAAAAAAAAAAAAAAAAAAAAAAAAATAAAAAAGCCTATTACAAGAAAAAGCATACTAATACAGACCATTTAGAAGAAGTTTATTAGTCAACCACGATTATAAAATTCAAATATTTATACAGCAAGAGGGAAAATTCTTAAGTAACCAAACACTCCAAACTATTTTGCTGCAGTATACACAGGAATGGTTTTGTTTCTTTTACGAGTTGATCCAATACCGTCCTTTAGTTAGCCAATAACTTCTCAAAAGGGTGTTTAATTTTGAGAATGCATTTCACGTTTGTCAGTGCAATATACAAAAACAAAAAAATTCAAGACCACACTAAATTGATTCCAAAAATAAAAGAAAGAAAAAAAAAAAAAAAAAGACAGGCACATTGAAGTCAGCTACTCTGTAAATAGCTCATGGTTAATACTGTTTGTTTGTGTTGCCATAGTTCAAAAGGTACAGATTAAAATGTTGCTTTGATACACAAACATAAATAAAGTTCCAAATGTTGTTGTTTGTTTTGCAAAACATGCATGAAGTCCCCAAATCTTTTAAGATCTTCTGTACGAGAGAAGAAATACAAAGGCAGCCAGAAATGGAAGCATTCACAAGCACCAGAATAAGGCCCTTCAGAGTTTATTAAAGTAACACGTTAAACCCCTTCATTCTCAGGTAATAGATTAAGAGGCCGAGATACACATCGTCTGCGAGGGTGAGGATACTGGATGTTGGCAGTGTCAGCATCGCAAGAGTGCTCTACCAGAGGAGGAGGAGGAAGGAGCTGGGCATGACTGGACCATCTCGATCCAGCCCGTGGGGAATCCAGAGGGGGAAAGAAATACCTGAAACAATTAAGAAAGGAACAAAACACCAAAACAAAAAACCAAACCAAACAAACAAAAAACAACAAAACAAAACAAGAAAAAGAGAAAGGTAGTAAATACAAGGAGAACCAAAGGGGAGAAAAGACATGCTGGAAAAAAAAAAGGCTTTAGTATATCCATGCCAAAACCAATAGAACATAATAGCAGAAATCAAGGCTTGTAATTCAAAACAAGACAAACCTCGAAACTGTTCTTTAAAGGAAAATAATACAGCCTTTTCCACTGAAATTCACAGAAAGGAATATCATACTAATAATAATCGTAGTATACATTTTTACAAAGGAACAGATTGCTTTGGATATCAAAAGGATGTTGCAGCACAGCTATTAACAGGCTTTCATGCTCCCAGAATTCCTGTGATTTGTTAACAGCGCTTTTCGTAACGCTTCATTGGCGACACAAGATATACATTAAATATTATGTAAATACATTTTCTGCATATGCATCTAATTCAGATTAACTTCACAGCACTTCTAGAATAGACGTAAAAACATTGTTGTTTTTACAATACTTTAATAATACACATTTACAGAGAGTAACTACTTTCAATGAAATACAGTCTTTGTATGTATTTACATATTTCTGCAAAATCCTCAGAGTAAATTAAAGATTCCTGGTGAATGCAAGACTCAGAATTATGCCATTTCATTTCATTTTTCTGCTGTTTTTATTAGAACTTACCCGTAATACTTATGCATTTTAATATAACCATATTAGATACCTACAGATGTTTTCTATCTTGTTTACAGTTCTGTGGACTTACATAAAGAAACAGCTATACGATTAATGAAATTATGGTGCAATTCACAGCTGCATTTTGATTTCAATCCTTGTAGGGCTCAAGTGTTTGTGTTTTTTAGAGTATTATGTTCAGAGAATTTCAGTTACTCCATGGAAGTATAACCATACGAATGTACAAGAACGTATCAGAAAAAGTACTTCTCTCAGTTAGGATGAAGAAAGTACGAAAGTAATTATGAAATGTTTATTTGAAGTCATACTAAGTTATAAATGAAGCAATACGAAACTATTAAAAGCTATCCATCTGTACAATTTTCAAAACACAGTTTTCTTATTCCTTTAAAACTAACAGTATCATATATTACAAAGCAGTTACAAACTTGTGATGTTTAGGAATCTTAATCAAATGCTGAACACTATGAAATGCAAAACAATTTAGTTATCAAAACAATTTTAATGCAAATTATTTTAATGGTTACTTCCCTCCTCCCATCCCAATCAAGGACAAAAATTCTCATTTTTAGTCATGAACTGGTCTTGACAAGCTTTCAAAAAAAAAAAAAGTTTTTATGGAAGTTTTTGGGTTTGGATTGTTGTTTGTGGGTTTTTTCCAAACAAGAAGCCTCTCCAAGTATTTTTCTATCAGGAGTTCCAACAGTATCAAACTGTGCGGGCTAGTACAAAAAACGTACACAACGTGTTTTAAAAAGGCTTTTTGAACAGCATTTAGTAGTTAGCAGGCTGCTGGTGTCTTGGGAGAGGTCAAACGGCGTTGGGGAGGGGAAAAAGGAGTTCGTTTTCCATTCCTGTGTGCATGCAACAAGCAGCAAAACATCAAAGTTACTCCAGTTAGCTTGGTATCAGCTCTGCTTTCTGTTAAAAAGGACATAATACAAATGGAGAATGGAAATTGTATCATAAATCTAGACACACAATTACATCAACATAACAATACAGCCTTAACTGACTTATTTTCCAACAATCTCTATCGTCTTTCTGAAACTATTTTGATTACAAATCCAGTTTGGTGGTCATGCCTTAAAGTTTTCAAGATCTGCCCATGCTTTATCTGGTTTAAGTGTTTAAATCTATAGACACTGAAACATAGCATCTACCATCCATCACAGACAAAATAAATTCTGTGTAGCATACCAATTTAGCCAAATGTCAGTACATAAGTCTTTTATACGTGTTAATACACTAAAAAAAAGTTAGCAACTGTGCTTACACAATTCAAGCCAATGTGACTACAAAAGAAAACATGTAGTTAAGTGCATCTTTTTTTACAGTAAGGCTCAATCCTGGGACAAGACACCATATATTTGAAATTCCACAACCAACAACTCGATTCTGTAACAAACCGTTAATTCCAAATTGGAGCCAAGAGTAATTTATTTAAAAAAAAAAAAAAAAACAAACAACCAAACCACCCACAACCAAACCCACCCCCCTTTCAAAATACAGAGCAACGGAGGGAGCGTAAAATAACACTGGAAGTGTTTCACAATGGCTTACTACCAACTTCAGGGAGAGAACGACCACCAGTGGGGGGGGGGGGGGGGGGGGGGGGGCGGGGTAGCCTTGCTGGCAGCAGCACAGTCTTAGAGGAGGAAACTGTGAAACCACACCCTATGCTAAAGCAGCACACAACGGCCTCTCTCTCCCTACAGGAGCCCAAGCAAATACAGTTAAATAGGTTTGGATATCACACTTCCAAGACAGGGCTGCATTTCAGCATTTTTTGCTACACTAAGTAGCACCTGGAACCAGACGACCAGTATCATTTTGGCCTCCTCTCTCGCTGGAGACCTGGCCCATTACCACCTCCCACTCTCCCATTTATCTTGTGAGGGAAACGTGAAAGCCCTTCTCTGTTCAACATGGCTAGGGACCTGGGAGGCAGAACCACCCTTCAGGAGTGACTGCTGAAGGGGGGTACAAAGGCTGCTCTCCAAAAGCAAACTGTCACATGGTGAGCATTTCAAACTGGAAAAAAAAGCCCTATCAGTAGCTGTACATGGATAGAAAAGGAGGCTATCCCAAGGCACTTGCAAAAAATAAAGGTGGCCACAAAACTTGGAAACTGTTGCTACAGGGTTCGGCCACATCTAGTCCTTGCACAGGACACATGCTGTAAAGTTGACTGTACACGCTCCATCATATAGGTGTGGGGCTCAGTGCATTTCTAGATTTCAGCGTGCACAGATTAAAATGATTTTCAGAAGAGGCAATTAAGTTTACCTACTAAATAGCAATTATTACAGAATAAAAACAACAAAGAAAGCAAATTAATCTGCAATAAGAATGCCATAGGAGGAAGATTTAAGAAACAAAAACTTTTATTCAACTGACGTTACACCTGCAAAAATGCCGAGTAAACTAACACAAGTATATGATTATTGAAACCATACATTACGAAGTATCTTTTCCTCTTTCCTTTCTGCTATCCCAGTGAAAAACAGAATCTGTTGCTGGTATTTTTGCTTCACTTTTAAACACGCATCTACAACAGAAGGGCAGTTACCCAGCAGTATGGTGAAGTTTCTCCTTGTTTGAAACGTATTTCAGAAGTTATTTTTAATCATGTGAAAGGACTAAAAGTGAAAAATAGTTGTTTACGTTGCTTATTTACACAGAATGATTTGGTATGGCTTAGGTTTTGTTCATTTTCCTCTGAACACCAGCATAACAGATACCATCACAGAGCAAAACTAGAATAGCTTGTAGAAGTATTCATGCAATAAATGACACTGCACTTTAAAAAAAAAAAAACCAACTACAAAACAACCATAAAAGCTAAGTGAAATTAAGAAGATTCAGAGAAGAGAGTATTTACTGAAATCTCTCTACTAATTAACCTACCTGCTAGCAGATGATCCATTTAGTGAATTCTGTAGACTTGTATTGGCTGAACCTAGAGAGGCATTAAAAATTCCCTGCTGAGAACTACCATTCACTGGGCTCCCATTACCTTTCAGTATACCAGTACACTTCCAGTTGTCCATGTAATTAGCTGAAATATAGACATATGAATACTGTTAGTTTCTCTTTTGAAGCCCAGCTTTTGATACAACTATGATGTTGCTACGCATATGGTATGAATCAGAATTGAAGTTAAATACCAATATATAAATTCCAAACAGCTGAGGATGTGGCCCTTTAGCTGTCTAGCATTCTCTGCCTATCCATGATTTAAAACTCAGTTTTGTTCAGTACCAAGAATTAGTTTCCTTTATTAAAATACTAAGAAAAAAAATGAGAACAGATGAGGAAACTGCCACTGGGTTTTTTGTTGTTGCTTTTGGAAATTTAAACAGAAAATAAAGCCAGTTTGTCTCAGCATTGTGACCGAATGTAGACTTTCTCGTTTTGGCAGTAGGTAAAGATAGCAATGCAATACATATGTTAATTTTAAAAATTACAAATTTACAAAGCTCTAAGTCTGGTGAAACAATGTGAGGGCACAGCAACAACTACTCACAGCAGCCTAAATCAAGCAAGTGTTCTGGCACAGAAAGTTATGTCCTTTTTCAGAAATGTAAACAAATACAAAAATCTACCATTCACCAATCTAAAATGAACTTTTATTCCAAAATTATTTTTTAAGTAAAATTTCTCAAGTATATTCAGCATAGTACAAAGCTGATGTATTTCAGGTGGGTGACCTTACCCTTCCAGAGCCTAACGCATCCATCATCACCAGAGGAGGCAAGCACTGTGCCTGTAATATTCCAGCTCACTCGCCACACCTGGGAGTTGTGGTTATCAAACTGTGCCACAATATGAATTTCAAATTTTGTTAATCCTCCAGATGAAGTCAATTCTTTCCTGTTTAAGAGAAAAGTGACAGTTCTGCACACAACTGCTCGAAGGTCTGGGCTCGACCACGATGACAAAAAGAGAGGATGGCATCTTTCAAGGAGTTTATGTAACAATTGTGACTAGGAGTATTAAGAGGCGTTCAGACAAAATTATAGACTTGCTCACAATCTTCTCGTCTTAAAAATCAGGCTGCTAAAAACCAATCCTGCATACATTAAGTTACTACTTTTGCTTCACAGATACTATTAAGAAAAAAACTTACATAGTATGCACCGCATCACACTGAGCTATCTTCCTTTTAAGCTCACCTGAGAGGTTTTAGTGTGAAAATTCGTACATCTTTGGTCGCTACAGCTAAGATGTGGAAGGATCTTCCCAGATTTGGAGCAAATGCTATATCATGTACAGGATCTGTGACTGTCATCAGAGCTTCTGTTTTTGCATATTTCCTGTACAGCATAAAAAATTAACCTTTAGTGCCATCAAAATTGCCAGTGACGTAAATTATGTAAAACAGACACAGTGGAACGGGGGGAAAGGGATTAGTGTACATGATGAGACTTGCAAAGATAAAAATATTTTCTTAACATAAATGCAATTGTAAGTAATAATTACAAGCAGATTTCTTCAGAAATTGAATACATCAGACGCAACAACAACTACTAACAACAGTATGCTAAATCATACAGCAAAGCGAAGATTCCAGTACAAAGAACATTTCTGTCTACAGTTTGAAATAAAAGGATTCTTACATTCACAAATCTAAAGGGCATTTGTATCTCAGGAACTTACTACATCTTCTGTGCTTGCAAGCAGATGCCTATCTGCCTCCTTTGCTGTATGACAAACGCGTATTCCATTTTTTTATTTACCATCAGGTAAGTTACAACAACTTTTCTTTATTGTTAATGCAAAGAACATTATCTGAAGCTAGCCATAAATCCACAAAACACCTCACCTCCTTTCCCACACCAATCACCCTGAATGAAACACAAGTCCTCTGTCATCAGTTAACTGAAAGGGGTTGTGCGTACACTTCCTAGCCTTTTCTGGCTCTGAATTCTTAACTGTACAAACTGAACTTTCACAGAATGCTAGGAATTCACAGAACTTTCTGTCATTGTGAACATGCTTTTAAAAGCATTTTAAGTTTGCCTTGAACAAAACAGTGCCTAGTGCAACACAACTCAAATTTCAACGTTGTCCTATTAGTTCCTAGTGCAAAATAAAGCATATAAATTGGTAGAAGCAGAAACACTTCTCCCTTTAAAATGCTGGTAAGAACACTGGCATTTCTGCCCTGAGATGGAACAAACTTATCAATGTCATGTCTGTTAACACCCATTAACATTCTGAGGTCTCCCTCTCCTTTCCTGTCCAATGGCTCAGAGACAGAATTAAGGTATTATCTACTAATCCACTCCATATCTAATGGCAGGAATAAAATAAAAGGACATATACTACAAACTGCTTTAAGGTCCCACAAATGTTATATATTATCATGTAGCATACCTGGTATTTTCGTTATACTCATAAATTTGAACCTTAGCCAATATATTTGGACTGTTGTCATCACTTCCTACAGCTATCATTGGAGAATGTGCTCGAGAGCTAAAAGGTGAAAACAAATACTGTTATATTTACAAGTGACTTCACAGGAAGCAAACCAAGCCATTTTTTAAGATTCAGGCACATTATCTATAAAGAAAACAAAACGATAAAAAAAAAAATCACAAAGGGAAAAAAAAAATCACAAGGAAACATGATAAAGTGCTATTCACAGTTAGCGGTACAATCTCCATTCTGTTATTTTGAATGACCACTTTATACACCCACTTAAGAGAAATCATTAGGGAACATTGTTTGGCAGTTCAAGATGATGCTCACAGAGAGTAGGATTGATTTTATATATGCATCTACAGCCAAGTATTTGCCACAAGTTTCATGGCAGAGTCTGCATTCTTTCCAGTACTTTTCATGATTGGTGTAGTGGGATTTAATTTCGGTTTTGGAAAATAGATTACAAGAGCTAAACAGAGGTGAGTTCTAGTTTTTAAATCAACTTTTAACTCCATCCCATGAGAAAGCCTGTACTCTGCGCCTTCAGCACAGACTACTATTAACAAACAGAAGAATAACTGGATCAGCAGGTCACAGACCACTACTTCTAAAAAAAAGCCATTAAGTGCTTCTGGACAAAGAGAATCCAAAGCAATTCAGCCCTGAATGGTTTTTCCCTTCCTGTTACTGCTGCGGGAGGACGAGAGATGGGAAGCAAAGGAGAACCTCTGCTTGTATGTGTTCTTCTGGGCAGGGACTACCCAGTCAAACTCCACTCCGATTCCTCCCTGTACATCTTTGAGCCCCTGAGGATATAACTAAACGAACAACTCTTAGGCTTGTGCTAGCAAGGCCCTTGTGCTTCCTAATACTTGCTGCACTGGCAAGGGTGTGTGTCCTTGTTAAGTGGCCAAAATTATTACTTATTGCAACACCTTTCTTAAGGAAATAACAAAGATATAGCAATTGTCCCTTTATAAACACTTTCTCTTATGAAAATCCCAGTTGAGTTTTGTGGGAAAAATGAAGAGCACTCCAAGGCTCTTTAGCTCATTACTTGCTAAAAATAATTAAGCTGGGAATATTTCCTCACAGAGCACAGGAGGGCTTTTTGTAACACTTCTCTGGCTCTGCCAAACTTGCTTTATTAAAATAAATGGTAACAGCTTTCTTTCAGATCTGAGTAACATACACTCAATCTTCTCCACGCACGTTTTAGATTTATTCTACAAAATTTCAGAACTCTTTGGATCTTCTGCTTAAGCAGTTATAAAGCAAAACCTACAGCTTTCATAACATACCTTGAAGGATTCCAGGAAATACAACTGCAGCTTAGCTTACATGAGATTTCGTGCTGCAGTGACCACTGACTGAGATTCATCACATCTGGAGCCTCATAAATCCTTACGACTCCATCTGCTGAACAGGTTGCTAACATAAGACCCATATGCTTGGGAGCAAACTTCACATCTGTAACAGATGTCCTACTGTCTACTAGAGTGGTCCTCTTTACCTGCAAAGAAAGGCAGAAATTCTTGAAGAAAACGCTAGAAATTTCCATCAAAAACTTATTCCCTAAGGAAGGCTAATGGAAGTTTGACAACACCACTTCAAAGGATCACTTACCTCTTCCATCAAGAACTAAAAAAAAAATAAAAAAAAACAAAAAAAAAACCACCAAAAAAACCCAACCAAACAAAAAAAACCAAACCACTTTTATACACCAATGAATTGGAGAAATGACAGATCATCGCACTGATGCAATTCCAAGCATCACAAGATATACTCACACTGGTATCAAAGTTCTAATACCAAAAAGAATTGTTTGGATTATGCTCTTCAGAAGAAACAAAAAACCAAAACCAAACACGTAACATAGGCATAAAATACAAGAGTATTGATCACAGGCAGTTTGGAACCGTCCTCTTCATTCATACTGGTGACAATATTAACCGCAATGCCTAGCAACACCACTTCCTTAATTTCAGTGATGCTGAAGTTTATCATGAAGCATTTTCCAACAGAAGCATCAAACCAACGAGTATTTCTGATAAGGGAATGGGTGAATACAGCAAACATTTCATAGGAAGATTAGCTAGGGTCAAAGAGGAAAAAAATGTAAACATTTGTTTCCCAAGTTGCCTCCTCGCCTGCCAAGAAAAGTATGAGCCTGAGCTGACCACTATGCATTACAGCCACCTCCTGCACACAAAGTCAGCTCTCATACCCCACTGGGTGCCACAGGTGCTAACAACCCAACTCCCTGCAATTACGTATTTTAATGTTAGAAAACTTTAGTAGAAAGTAAAAACTGCAGATATTTTAGCAACGTAAAACAAAATAAAATATTGGAGGCAGAAATACCATGCTGTTATGTAAGACTACATGTGAAGAATAGCTGCAAAATAATGCTTAGATCTAAAACAACCTTGGTGGAATGCTACCCAAAAAGTCCACTTCTGAGCAAACTATCTCCCCCCAAAACCTGCTCTATTGTTTGAAAGAGGAAAAAGAACAAGATGAGACAGTTTCAAATGAGCTCCTGTCACAGAAGAAAACCCCCACAACTTTAATTCTACTGTAGATGGGAATTCACGTCTGCAAGTTGTTTGCCAGGGAACATCTTATTAAGAAATGCCAGTAGTAGTGACACTAATTGGCCTAAACGTTGCCGTTCAGCTGTTTTCCCCAAATGCTTTAAAAATACTCCCTCTATGTTGGAATATTGCCACAAATTAACAAAACATAGGCAAAACCAGAAACACTTTATATTAACAGAAGAAAACAGGGCACTTTCAGGAATAGCAAATATATTCAAATAGGACACACTCAAATAGAGTATGTTTCAAAATATGTTTCAGGAATAGAAAATATGTTGCAAAACCAGAAATGTCCAGTAACTTGGTATTTAGAATAGTTTTGGCATCCAGTCTTCCGTTTAGTTCTGGAATTTAAAGAGTTCAGCCCATTATGATAAGCAAACAAATCAATGAGGCACAGTAAATCTGTTTATGAGAGAACATGCAGAAACTGTAATTAATAAGTTAAGAAGACTCACCCAGTGACTCTGGCCTCGAAGTTTATCATTGGATTCTCCCACTATTTCTTCCCATACAGCTGCTGTTCTGTCAAAAGAGCAGGAAGCCAGGACCTGCCCAAATTCAGGATGGGCCCACGTCACACGCCACACAGATCCACTATGTGTCTGCAAAATAACACCAAAACACTACAGAGAAGTGTCCTTACTGTGTTAGTCCAAACAACTGCACATTCTCCTGATGTTCTGCAGAAGCAGAAGTGAACTCTGGGAAGTGGTAAGACTATTCCTTTGAAATCTACATTCTTTTATAGAGCTCAACCTTACACAGCAGCTGTTGCATTTGTTTATTCCTATAAGCACCACAAAGTTTTGTTGCTGTTAGTTAAATGCTTTAAAGGTAATTATTCCAAGTGTATTCCAAGGCATTATTTATTACTCCTTTAAACCTTAAGCTCCATGCTGAGATTCTGCCTTGACACAAAAAGTACAGCTTTGTTTTCAGTATTCAGCCACTACCATGCTCACTTCTAGCTGGCCTGTACTTCTCCAAAATATATGCAGAGCACTGCTTTTCTTCTCCTTTTTTACATGAAACTCTTCTTTCATACCTAGTCACCCTAGTGCTTCCTTTTTAAAGAAGGGGAATTCAAAAGCTTCACTTGCAGTTCTATTTACAGGGATTATTGTATTGTGGTCCTATTAAATACAAGTTTAAGGACAATTCAGAAGCTGAATGCACTGATTATACTGATGAAGCAGAGTCTCTAGATGACACAGTTCTCAAAAAGGTTTTAAAAAAAAAAAAAACCAAGGTCAGATGTTGTAACATTTAATACCCAGACCTCTTTTTTTTTTTTTCTTAAGTCTTACAATATGCAAAAAGGAAATATTCAATTAAAAATTACTGTTTTCTAACTCCCTAAGTCCCAGTTACTGCTATGTTTACTGATAACAAAGCCTGCCAACATAACTAAGTACTAATACTATAAGACTGCACGCTAGCCTCTGCTTTAAGTGAGAGGCATTGGAGATGTTCTATAAAAGCAGAGAAAAAGTAGTTTACCGTGAGAAATACAGAACGTACAACAAAGCAAAAGTATTTCTATTCTACAAGTCAGTGAAAGCTAAGTATGTTTCTTCAAAAACAAAGTAGTTATGGTTATAACTGTATCATCTTTATAAATACAGACCTTCCAGCTGGCAGTGCAATGCCAATCCCCATTTTCACTTTTGTCCCAGACCTATTGAGAAATCAAAATACAATCATACAATTTGTATATAAAGCTTACTAAGTAGTACTAAACCCCCACAACCATTTATATATATATATATATGTATCTATACATACACACACACCCCCTACTAAATATTTTCATCTGGGAAACTCTACCTGGCTCAGTACACAACTGCACTTCACTTGACCTTGAAAATACCCCTACTACAGGCAGGGAGAAGAGGCACACACCTGCAAAACCCACTGTATGTATAAAGTCTGCCTTTTTTAAACAATGAATTATTCATAGAAGACAAATTATTACAGTTCTGAGCACTTCATTCACTCTGCTCCATGCGCACACGACTCAGTTTCATGCTAGAACCCCCACAGTCCTCACCACGGCAGGCACTCAGACCTGGACGCAAAACCCTGATGTGGCTCCTGGCGATCATCCCAAAGACAGAGCGGGATAGCAAAAAGAAAATCAAGCTAGTGGGGGAACAGATCATGTTTCTGTTTCTAATATTTCTGCCTTGATTTCTATGACCGTGCAAGGCAGTTAACCTTCCTTCCTCTTGATTCCCTATACATCTTTATCATCCTGATGACATTTTTTCTGAAAAATTGTGAAGGAAGTCATGAACATAACCAGATGAACGACACCTCTAGAAGTCCGGCGTCCGCTCCCAGTTGTCACTCATTCACTCTATCGAAAGTCACCTCACTTTTGCCATTCTGGATCTCCAATACAACCTTGGTTGTGGTTATCATCACCCTAACAGCCCAACTTCGTAACTCCTCCCTGACTGCTGGGCCCACCTAGTGAGCACGGGACCCACGCCAGATACAACACTGGTGAAACAGAGGTGTTGTAAAACTCTGTGACACTATTATAACTGGAAAGTAACATCACCTTGGTAAAGAACATTGTTTCTGAGCTGTACCTACCTCGTGGCACCTTTCTTAAGAACATTCTTTTTAGGCTGCAAGTGTTACGTAGTTAGTCCAGACCAAAGACTGACTTGGTTTCAGATTACTTTTTGGCAGACAGGTCTTTTGTTGTTGTTTTTCTCTTAGCTTTTTAATATGTGGTCAGGGAGAAGGGGCTGCTCGCTTGTTTTTAAGCCTGATCTACATTTGGTACAGCTTTCTACAGAAAAGCAATTCTCTCTCCCATCTGCCCGGCCTAACAGAAGATACGACTGCTCTCTGCAAATTACACTTCTTAAGTCTAAACGAGTAACTCCCAAATTTTTGCCCATCTTTTCACCACGTGCAAAAAAAAAAAAAAACCCAAAACGGAAAAAGCAATTAACTTTTTCAGTTACTTTTTTCTCCTCTAAAGGAACGTAAACCGAAGGCTGCTAGCACTTCACAGTTTCCCTACTCTGCCAGAGCACAGGCAGAAGGTTTCTGCCTTCTGCTTACTGGCACTGCCGAACAGAACAGAACAGTAGCTGCTTCCCTGGGCGCCCTTAAATCAACGCAGCCCTCCAGCCGGAGCGGCAGCCCCGGCAGCGCTGCTGCAG